TATCGCCACCATAAGTGCACTGCGTTAACAAGCGTTACTTGCTTGCGTTCTCTCACTCCTTGTTGTTCTCTATCTTTATGTTCTCATCGCTGTGGGGATTTGTTATCAGCGCATGCAGCTAGAGGACAGCGGGGGCAGAGCAAGAGACGGCGCCCGGTATTGCTGTTCTCCAGCCTCGTTACTGCGCACTTTGAACCAGTAGAAGGTGTCACGGTATTGAAGCTACGGGCCCATTATGAAACTTGGCACACACTGCCTTGGAGGTGAGTTTAAGTTTGTCTTCAAGAAGTTTGCAATAAGGGTCAGCCCAATGCTGCTTTTCCAATATTCGCCCTGATTCCTGCTTTCAGGTCATTATTTCTCCAATAGCATTGATCTCGGCGACACAAGGTATTACTTATGCACCGAGCAAAATCTACTGTACTCTAGCTGGTGGTGCTGCTGCAGTTCGGGTAACTGTGCTGAGTCTGACAATGTGCGGACTCAATCTCGTGACTCTGCTCGGTGTGATTGCGCTGTTCTTCTTGAACCGCTTTCTATTGAAACGGTAAGACATTGCCTGCTTCTTAATGCCCTCCAAGAAGCTGGATTTCTCTATTGGTATCAATGATGAAGAAGTAATATCGATCGGTGTCCCTCATCAAACACCATTAACCGGAGGAAAAGTAAGCATAACTGCCAAAATCTCAGTTCTGTGGGTAGCGGAGCAGCAGAGCAGTCCTGCAATGATCCAGCAGGTAATTGCTGACCATCATTCCACTAGATGTTGAGGGGAATGTGAGAAAGAATTTTAGTTCCCGTTTCAGTCATGCCCTCGGATGGATGTGTACACGTAAAGTCCTTCGTCCAGGCCTATTAGGGAGGGGGGAAATAAGGAAAATTGAGTGTCGTGTGATACTTGAGAAGAAATGCAAAATTTTCAAGAAAGTAGCCATCAGTAGCTACTTCTCAGTATATTGAATTAGCAGAAAGTCGACAAATTTTTGAACACTATCAACGTGAATATTAGGGAATTTGTGATACAACGTACATTATACGTATGATGTCTATGTGGGCTCAGCACTCACGATCTGCTTTAGTTCAAATTTGAGTCCAGAGCAGAGCTCGTCGCTACTCATAGAGAGGCGTCTATAGAAAGGTATGAATAAACTGAATTGAAACAGATTTACCATTGGTGCATCATGCTTGGACAAAACATAGTTTTTGAATCCAATCAGTGCAAATTCCATAACATGATCTGGTCTAATCAAAGCTTGCATGCTCTGCGACAAGGTGAGAACTGCTCTTCCGCTGCGGGCAAGTATTAGGTTGTTCGGAAAGGAATGCGCGTTGACTTTGTCTATTTATTTCTCTTCTACTATAGGAGATTTTTCAAAACAGTTTTGTCCATTAGAGAGAGGTTTTTATTGCGCATCTTTTGATATATTTTTTCTATGTCTACCTTGTTTTTTAGAGAAAAAAAGTTTAGAAAATGCTCGACCAAAAATTTCGAATGCGAGCTTGTATGTGGTAAGACTTCAAGCAAGTCCTAACGACGCACTTGGGTGGACCTAATGACCCGCACGGCTCACAGGGGCAGCGGGCGGACCTA